GAGATCGCGAATTTTTTGGGGATCGCGAATTTTCAATCATATGAGGAGATTGCGAATTTTTTGTGGATCGCGAATTTTCAATCATATGAGGAGATCGCGAATTTTTTGGGGATCGCGAATTTTCAATCATATGAGGAGATCGCGAATTTGAGGGGATCGCGAATTCTCCCCCATTTGAGGAATTCGCAAGATTTAGGGGATCGCGAATTCTCCCTCATATGAGTTCGCATTGCGAAATTGCGAATTCTTTCTTATATGAGAAGTTTGCATTTCGAAAGTGCGAATTTTTTCTCNTATGAGGATTTCGCACTGCGAAATTGCGAATATTCTTTTACATGAGGATTTTATCTTGCAAAAAATTGCAATTATTTTTTAATAAGATAATTTTATCTTGCAGAAATGCAANTATTTTCTCATAAGATGATTTTATCGTATAAAAAAGAATTTCTTTTTTAAATCATAATATCGATATTAAATCGACTTGTCAATAATTGGTCGAAATTCGTGTCCATTTTTAAGTCGAATCGACTACAAATTTCAACCGTCGATCGACTAGTATAATCGACGTCGAATCGACGTCGATTCGACAAGGTATTTCTGACTGGGGATGGGTTTCAAGCTTTTCTTTGTAATTATTCAAAGATCAGATATTAACTGTACAAACAAAATATTTGTGAAAGAATTAAAAATTTATTTTCTTTTTTTACACTTATATATACTTATATACGTATATATTTATATATGTATATGCTTACACTAATACGTACTTAAAGGCAAATATATTAAAATATAAAATAAGATATTAAAATAACAGCTTTTACACTATCAAATATAAAACAAGGTTGTCTTTTTTTTTATCTGACTTAATTCTATTCACACACACACAACCAACAGTTATTTATTATTATCAAATATATATTGTTTTTATGATAAAAAATATTTAAAATCATTTTAAGTCTTATGTTCTTTATTTCGGTCAAGCTTCAATTCGCGATAAGAGAGAAGTTTAAAATATTCATTATATTTGTAATTATCTTAATATTCCTGTTTTGTAATTTTCTCTCATTTTCATATAAATTACACGCAGCTTTGCGTTTGAATCATACCACTGCATACATATGATTATTTTTTGTTTTTTGTCAAATATAAAATATATAAATACGTCAATGAGGCACTTGTCCAGGAATATTAATTATCGTTACTTTATTTGATGTCCGTTGCGACCTTTCGGGCGCCGTATAGGGACGAACTAGCTTTGTACTCGTAAAATTTTCATTGTAATTAGTATTTAAATTTACTGAGTCCAATATTGACGCTATTGTTTGTGTGCTCTTCTCTCCGGCGACAGTTTCTATATTGGACGTAAGATTCTGTGAAATATTTTCGCATATAACAGTTGGTTGTTCAATTGGAAGAGGAGCAGTCTTATTTCTCTGTACAAAAGCTTTTATAACATTTTTTCCTTCGTTGATACCTAAAATCATGATTTTTGTGTAAAAATATAAAAAATATATACAGGGCGCTTTTCAGCTACGTACACAGGTACGACACTGTGTAACACATTAGTGTGAGAAAGAGGATATCAGTGTCTCATTCACACTAGTGGATACAGTGTCGCCTGTGTACGTAGCTGGAAAACATCCACAGTTATATTTATACACATATATTCTATTTTTATGTGTAAACACACGTACCATTGCGAGCTTCGTTTATTACACTTTCCTCCTGTAAAGGAAAAATTCATATTCAAATTTATTTTCTAACATGAAAAGAATATATACACACACGCACACACATAAAAAGATATAACTAATATTTATTTGTACCTTTACTGCCAAGAGATCTCTAATGGGTTTGAAAGGGTTTGACTGTACAGATATTCTTGATGGTGTGTCTGAAGCAACAGATTGTGATTCTTGTACACATTTATGTGAACAACTTTGTAACTGTTTGGTTCTATTATTCAGGGTAGCATAATTTTTTACTACGGTATCAAGCAACCACCTGTGCAAAATATTCAGTTCTGAGATTAGATGTACGTGTATCTTTATACGTGTATATCTAAATAAACTTGTAGTCGCAAACTCACTTATATCCATTCTTTATGCCCATGTCACTATTCCTAGACTGTTCTTTATCATAGATGCAAGAACATGTTTCCACTCTTGTTGGACATTTCATAGCATTAGCTGCCTGCTCTACATCCAGATTTTCAACTAAATCTAATTCGTCGATGGCACCATTCAAGTCCTGCTTGTTGGCAAGTCTAAATACATCAAAATACACACAAAAAAATTGTACTACCAGTAATATCTCACAAATCTCTGATCATACACATAAATTATATATATACATATATATATAATCTTATATATACATAAGTATATAAACTTGTCCCATATGTCTTATTTCATTAAAGAATATACAAATCAAATACGAAAAAAATGTGAAATAGGTGTGCGCAAGTAAATGTGCAAACAAGTAGATGTAAATTTGAATTCCCTTACAACAATAACGGTTTTGCTGAAATATGTTCATGCGTGATTAATTCGTTAAACACAACTTTATTTTCTGCAAGACGGGAAATATCACTTGCATCCACCACATATATAAGACCATGTATCTATAAAAGACATCAAACACACCATGAAGAATGACGAGATTTGTTATTTTGGCACAGAGGGGCAACGAGCACGAACACATACACAATTACTTAATTTAATTGCAAGAGTTTGTTGCAACAAGTATATTTACATGTATGATAGTGTTGCCATTTGTTTAGAAGATATACAATATGATTACTTACATCCTGATAATATTTAGGCCACAATGCTCTAATTTGAGAACTACCACCAACGTCATATATCTTTACTGAATACGATTTGTGCTTCAAAGATACTGTCCGGAATCCCATTGTAGGCACTACGGTTTGATCTGGATCTACAAAAGACAGAGAAACATATAAAAAATAATATAAAAACTTTGCTGATAACACGTACAAAAGTTTGTCGTAATTTTCTGTTTAGCTTTAATACAATAGAAAATATAATGTTTTAGAAGTTCAAGAAAATTTACCACCGCTAATATGATTTAGTATCAGAGACTTCCCGGCATTATCTAATCCCACGATAAGAAGCACAATGGTTCTGAAATTAAACAAATGGAAGCATAAACATTATATGTGCCTATTGTAATATGTAATCTTCACGCTATAAACAATACGCGTACTTCTCTGAGCTGCGATTTCTTCGCAACCTCCTCAACACGCTCCTGATACAATTACCCATCGCGTAGAGAAAACAAACTTGTGCGTCGCAATCTTACAAATTAGATAATTAGCTATATTTCGAGAAGATCCTGCCACTCATTGTATCGTGTTTAATAATCTTATTTAATTACAAATCATTACAGATCAGTGCGAATCAGTGTTTACAAGCATAGGAAATGACAGTGGAATTGACACTGTTGACAGATCTGTGATTGCAAACTCCGATATACATGTCAGAGACTGAACTGAAGCTAGGAACACATGAAAAAAATTTAAGCAATAAGATTTAAACAGTAAACAAATCAACTAATCACAGGCCGGCATTCTCTCAAATATAAGCTACGTTTAGAAGAATGTCAGTCTGTGATTGGCCTATTGATTTTATTTAGTGCTTAAGTGAGTTCACATGAGAATGTCCTGAAAACTGACGTAAACGCATTTTACGTGTACAAAAACAGGCGTGTTGTCCATGTTTTGTACACAGAATTAATCCCATGAAACGAATGAAAATAAATGCTATCAGAGAGAAAAGTCCGACAACGATCGTCTAATTGAATTAAAGTTCCTCATTGAATTTTCTTACAACGCTGTAGGCCGCTAGTTTCAGCGCCATACACAAAGCGGACGATAGGAACTACAGACATTTACTTTCAAGCGTAGACACAATAAAGCTGTTGCTCGGTTTGAATCCATGCTACATCCACTTTATTATTGATAGTAATTTGAATCGATATAAATCTGCCATATACATTTACAAATGCGACGAAAAGCGACGAAAATTAAAACTGTTAAGAACATCTCGTGCAAAGATCTTATAAAACATAGGAATGTATAAAATTGACTAAAACGCGTCGAGCAACAATAGAAAGAATTAAAAAAAGAACTAACATTTAGTTTGGAGGAGTTATGTCCTTGTGCAAGAGTAAAAGGAAATTTTGTAAAAATAACAAAACCGTACGTACATACTCAAAAGTGAACGCGTACATATAAAATAAAAAATAAACATTAAACAAGCAATTTTTTCACAATTTGTTTATTATCTAAGTATAAACAAATATGAACAACACTTAAAAAACAACTTAACATTAGTGGATTACTCTGTCTATTAAAGTTAAGTACAGTTGACGATATAATAAGCATATTTTCATCGATCTTCTCGATTCTTTGGGCACTTTCGCTAGTGCATACACATAATTTGGGACACACACAACGAACTAGGCGGAAGTACATTTTAATATTCGTGGGATATGGTCGGTTATACGTGAAATTTGGAATCGTGTCAGTAGCGATATGATAATGCTACTTTATTAATTATTAAAAAAAAAAAAAACGAATTCGCAATAGCAGTTGTATTATTCAAGTGCTTCGAGAGCGAAACTTAAAAATTCTTGCAGGCCTGACTCTCAATATTTTTTCTTTTATTTTTTTTGTTTGTTTTTAGGCAGTCACTTCGCTGGCCACGCATTTGTCGTACATGGCGTCCAAGACCTGGGTGAACTTGAGATGACGTTCTTCGGGAGCGACTGTCGCACCGCGGCTGCCCCACAGGAACTTGATGTGGAACTCCGTGCGAAACGCGTCCGACAGCAATTCGTCGCTCCTGCAGCCCTCCAAAGCGATCTCCGCGTTTCTACGGAAAAGCGGTAAGTTCTCAGCTAGTTTGCGAGCGGCCTCGAGATGAGACCAGACAATTGACAGGCCGCAATCGGGTGCCGAATTTTCCCAGGGTGTAAGAATTGCTGCCGCAAGTCCCGAAGGCGTCACAGTGCCTATAAATGAAATTAAATGTAATATCGGAAGAAAAAAGAAGAAACATATGTGATGAATCGCTTTAATAGATATATACCTAAAACATCTTCGGGACCGCGTTCTCCGAGCAATGCGATCGGTAGCAGATGAGGCAATGTTGTGTTAGGCGCCTGTGGATTCGTACACTCATTCATAGCTCGCAGAGTAGGTCTGAGCTTTGCCTCGAAACTGAAAGCTTCCTCTGTATGTTTCTGCCTTAATAAGTGCCAAGTGTTCGTTAACTTTTGTATTTGAGGCAAGCATAAACCGAGCATCACGCCGCAGAAGCCGTAAAGATTGCCAAGCGCGGTTTTGGTGTCGATTGCCACTTTGATCCACTTGCTTATGGTAGCTGCTCTTTCTGTTCGATCAATATATATATATGACTATCTAGAAATCGGAAAAAAATGTTGAGATAATCTGTGAGAGTGTTGTAAGCTCACCTATAGCTGTGGCGCCAGCCAACACTGTGACCGCCACCAGCAATTTCAGACATTCCGATCTTTCGATCAGATCTATTCTAGCTTGTCTACCGTGAGGAAGAGTTGCCAGTTCGATACCACTTAATCCGCTTCTATTTCCAAAACCGGGTTGAAGCGCGACTTCCAGATCGATCTTCGTGAGATGAGAAGCGAGCACTCTCGGTGCCGAGTCCAGTAACATTCCTGAGACTCCTCTCAAAGCCGTCGGATCCAGAGGTCTGTGTTCACCCGCTGGCAACAGCAACGTATTGAAACTCTCGATGTCGAGCATCGTCGTGATTTCCAAAGACGGTGCAGCCACCACCAGCTGCTCCTCCGCGGACAATTCGTACTCGCTACCGTTGTTACCGTTTGTACCGTCGTTGTTGGTGTTATAATGACTACGTATCACCACACCCTTGATCGGCGCCGAGGAAGACGGATTGCTGGCGCCACCGGAGTTGTTGGTCTCGAATTCGCTGTCGCCCGATCCGTTTCCGCTGTCGCTGCCGGAAGCTTGATAGCTCTGATGATGATGATGGTGGTGATGATGATGGTGATGATGATGATGCTGATGATTTGGCACGTAGGGCACCCTGGGAGGCTTGGGTGGCGCTGTATTTATGATGTTCTGAAGATTGAGACTCGGTGGTTGCTGTTGTTGCTGCTGTTGCAGCGCTGGATCGGAGATCACTCGGGTAATCTTCTGTCGGCCCAGAGACAGGGAACAGGAAGGCGGCTGGTTCTGAATCGGCGGTACTCGCGGAAGAGTGCTGGATTGTATAGGTAATTGAGGACCCATTTGTTGATTACCTTCCCGTACGACATGTTGTTCCGCGCCATGATGCTGAGCGGTCAGAGAATGGCTGCGTTGCTGTTTTCTGGGTAAACGAGGTGGCGAACCGGTGGACAAGGATGACGAGGAAGGACTAGAACAGTGCTGATTGCTTGTGGGTCCTGCGGCACACGTCAGTGGGACCGATCTCGGCTTCGGGGTGATAATACGAGCTCCGCTAGCCTGACTGATAGGCCGGCCACTGCCGACGTAAAAAGTTATCAGATCGGCAACAGTGTCGAAGGCCTCGTCTTCGAACTGATATTGCGCTCTTTCGTAAACCGTATCGGGTTGAATTACAACCTACAAAGTAAAATTAGATTTTATAATATAGAATTCGCGATTTTTTCGGTTCGGAATTTTTCGGAGTCGTTCTGTTGCCGTAACTTACTCGATTGATGACGAAATGAAGCGGTTGACTCTTCCATCGTACGGTCAGAACGTAATTGCCGGGTTGGGAGGCGCAATCGCGCACCAAAAAGTCCCCGTCGTTCGACACTTCCGCTTCCGCACCTTTCCGACCGCCCCGTAACGTACTGCCATGATACCAAGCGTGCGATCGAAGATCTCGTGGATCGAGCAGTCGTAATTCTCTTTCCAAAAGTTTGCGCGTGGTCTCCTCAGGTGGCTCCTGCGCGCGATAAATTAAAATGCAATTTTTTTGACATATTCATATTAAATCAAATTCAAGTTAACGAACATTCGGATTATTGCCAACGAATGTTAATTTGTTTTAATTTTTAATCTTAACGTTCGTTAAAGTTACGCGATTGAGAATTCGTTCACCCCGACGAATACCATCGATACATTTCTCTCATATCGTTAATTAATTTCTCGGAACGGAATAAGAGACAGCGATATATATGTATCGCGCGAACGTTAAGACAATTGGACCAATCAAAGCATAAAAGAGGCGGAACACTGCGATACAGCGAAGATTGGCTTAACGAGAATATCCTTGAGCGCTCTCTGTCACAAAGTTGTGGATCGTCTGCGACTCGTCATCGGAACGAGTGTCGCCTCAAGTAGCTCGATTATCACACAACTCATCATTCCTCGCACTCGAGTGCATCTCGTTCTATTTGATCTTTCTTATATAAGTCATCCGAGAAGAAGTGACGCGCTGTCCGTTCGGTAATTTAAATCTATTTCGCTATTTCTCGCCGGAGGCTGCGCGCTGCTCTGTCAATATATGATTTTTTTTTTTTTTACAAGTGCATCGACCGATGAAGAATCTTTTTGACACGCGCGCGCGCGTACATGTATTTTGTAAAAATCTTATTTCTCTTAAAAAAAAAAAAAAAAACCGTCTTTAGATAGTGATTAGAAAGTACATCGAAAACTAATATACACAGTTTAAAATTATATAAACACTCACCATCAGCGGAGACAAGTTGTTGCTCTCGGGTGCCTTCGTCGGGGGCGAATCCTTTTCACTTCGAGGACATACGTTGCGATGTTCTTTCGCGTCGCCGTTTTCCACCGGCGTTCTGCGATTAGAACAAAATTTAATTTTTAATCCGTCACATTTCGCAGCCGCAAATTCTTTGTTTTTTGATTTCCGGAATCTCTATTTTTCATAGATTCCTCCGTCAAAGAAGGAGAGAAGCCTCGTGCGGCTCTTCGTACGGGCGGATAGGGTTTGACCCGTGCTCTCGATTGTGTCAGAGCTCGCGCACACACCCCACGCGCAGACACATAAGCTCAACTAGAAGACACAGGACCGTATTTTCAAAGGGTATCGCGGGGTACCGTTGGATGTGATATTAATAGATTGTACGAGGAAAATGCGCGAGAGAAGCGAGACGAGAGAGAGAAGGAGAAATTGGTTACGCGTGCCAAAGAAAATATTTTCTTACCGTCGGGGCTTTTCTGTGTCCGTTCAAATGCGTCGCAATCACCGAGCGAATCTAATTCGACAAAAAGATGTAATCCGACCGCGCGAAAGAAACGTATTATTAAACAATTCGTGTGAGAATATTAATTAATTTTAAAATAACAATAGCTCTCGATATAAAACTCTTTCATTAAATTCGTTCTTTTCGAATGTATAATTTAAAAATATCTAACGTCACATCGAATTTTTTTTATAATAATTTTTCATTAAAATGTAGCGCGTGTCGCGTGTGTATTTTTTATCCGTTTGACAATAAGTGTCTAAACAATTTTACGTCAATGCGTTTCTGAACCGTAAAATGATACGTCCCTGTCGCGATGTTGTTGTTCTTGTCGTTTCTTCTCCCGCTCTGATATCCCCTCATACACCCCTTTCCTCGTTTGTCAAAACCGATGTGGCTGTGACAATCGACGGAAATCGAAATACATGCACCGTCAGTGACAGACTTGCCGCATCGGACAGAATACAAAATTAAGCGTGATATAAAATATCGTTCCCTTTTCTCTCATTTTTGAGATTTCTTCGTTGATACCGTCGGGGTTATTGATCTTTTCCATCAACGGGCTGCGTGCATGTACGAGGGGGTCGATGGCCAAGGTGCGCTTGCGTCACCCGAAAACGTTCGATAAGCGGGATCCCCATGCTCGCGATGCAGCGGTCAGCGTTGCACTCAATCGTATAAAAAAAAAAATCGGATTTCAAATTTGATCTTTTTTTTTTTTTTAATCGACTAGTAACAAGTTTTACAAATAAAACTAATGTTTATTCGAAACGATAATTTAAAACAAAACATAAGCCAGTTGTTTACAAAAAATAAATTGAGATTAATTTTGCGCGATTCTGAAATTTGCTTTAATTATAAAATAAATCTGACAGTAAAAAACAATAACAAAAAATTACTGCCGTCATAAAAAAAATACGACACCAAGCAACAACTCGTCGCGACGCAACGAGCGCGATTGAAACGAGACAAAGAAGCTATCTTTTGCATTGATAGTCGGTACGAGAATAGAAGTTCGGAGAAAGGAAGGACGTTGCAAAAAAAGAGTTCGCTTCTATTTCCCCTGTGGATTATAATGTTACCGTCGCGGATCTTCGCGCGCAGACGCGTGTAAACGTAACATTCGCACAGCGAGCATTGTTATCACATCTGCTGACCGTTGCATTAGCACATGTAGAATTTTATCTCGCTCAGCCCCCGGAGGAAGTTCATTCCTCCGTGTGCTCATTACGGACATAATATCGCTTTCGAGTTTCTCCACCGATGCGAAATATATTTGCTTTGCTCTCGTGACCTAATGTGACATTAATCGTGAGATCAGACATGTTCCGAATAATCGATCGGTCCATTAATCATCTTTTTGACGTTGCGGAGTGACGCGCGCATAATCCTCCCGAAAAACAAACATACGATACGTTTCGACGACGACAGGGGGGATGATATCCGCTTGTTATTTATACGTGTATATATACATAGTTTTCCTTTATTTCCTCGTTAGACGAAATTCCCGACGTTTGTCGGCCAGTCGTGCGTAAGAGAGAGGGCGGTCGTAAAATCATCATTATAAAGGTACAAAGATCGAGAAAAACCGGTTCGAGAAACACCGGACCTATTATATTCCCCCATACCAGTTCAATTCGACGTGTATCCCGAAAAGATTCATTCATGAGATACAACTTTGTGTATTCTCGACTTTTTTAACAAAAAGTCGGTAGAAACTACCTTTCTCAAGGCGATTTAATTTGTGTGTTCATTTATTCGCGCTTCTCGTTTTTTCTCGCAGTCCTCTCGCGCGTTCAACGTTGCTTCTAAAATCTTCTTCGGCACGATTCGAGAAGATTATAAATCGAACAAGATTCGAAAAGGTTAATAAATTAGAAAAGATCAATAAAATCAAGTATTAATCTTTTCAAGAAATATGTAACTATAAAAAAAATTATACCGCGTGTCACAAAATTCGAGAAGTAAACGTGTCGCCGATCTTTCAGATTCGCATTTGCCGTGCGCGAACTATATCTATTAATATCTCTGCTGTCACTCTGCTCAGTCAGTGTTTCGATATATCTCGAGGTCGTTTCTATTGAGCGCGAGCAGCCGATCGCGAGCAATATTGCGATCGCAAGCAGAAATCGGCAAGGTTTGTCAAAATGCAAAGTTTGCATTTCTGCGATCGTGAAACAAGCGTCGAGCTCCCCACTCTCGTGGCGTTTTCTATACTCGGTTAACTCGGTCTGACACGGTCTGCGGTGCGCTTCTCGTGTTTTTTTTTTTTTTTTTGTTTTTACTTGTTCTCTCTCTTACACGTTTTCTCAACCTGTTGTAACTTACGACTAATGTAGACGCTCAAATCGCACACGATTCTCTTGCGACAATGTGCGATTATCATCTCTTGATGACTGATTGATGGAGAAACGACCTTTACACGTACCCGGGGTTACTGTTCGCGGGGAAGTCGTCGGGCGACGGCGGGGTCACAATCAAGCACGGTTCTCTCTGAATGACTATGTCCGGCTGCAGGTGTATGGTGTGTCTCTTTCCCCGAAGATCCTTACACGAATCGGACGACTCGAGACCGTTTCGCTTGCGCCGTCGGCCGCTCGTACCTAAATTCTGCAGAGTACCCATAGATGGGAATCGAAAGCTCCATGCTATGCCTGAATGGTAATCGTAAAAAAATTTGCATGAACAAAATAACAAAAATAAACTTAAAAAACGTTAAGAGAATACAATTGTTATGTTCAATATTTACATATTCGATCATTATTTCTTTATATATATTTTTTTTAATGTCCGGTCACTGGAACATTTATCTATACGCGCTTGTGATTAATGCAATTGAGCGAAAATTAAAATATTAATTAGACCAATTATAAGAGCAAAAGAACGAGAGGTGCGCGTTTGAATGTTGATCGATCTTCAAGGTTTTCTTTTAGATTACGCGTAAAATTTTAAACAAATTCTGTCGAAACAGATTACTTGCACAAAAATATTTATAAATTTTTCACACACACACACACGCGCGCGCACACACGTTATATAAATTTCCTGTATAAATGCTGACCGTGAAGAGCTGACATTTCCTTCCATATATCGCCATAAATCGTTGCTTAGCGTGACATACATGAAAGGAACATGTGTTTCACGCGGCGCTTCCTACTTTTGCGCTGTTTCCACTCCGACAGTGTTGCGTTATACGTTTCACTATTGTTCTTTTGTTATTGTTGTATATACGAGTTCACACGACCGCTGGGATGATTTATATCGTTTTAGCGTATCCGTCTCGCGATATTTATAACAACCCAGTTTTCAACTACACTACGGTGACAAACGACAAAATCTTATTTAGATAGGTGCTGGTTGCTCGCGTATAAGCCAGCGGTTTCGCACTTTCGTGATTACGCGCATAAACGACTTCACGTCGAACTTGAATGCGCCACGAACACGGTCGGTCTCTCTCGATGCAGCGGGCTTGTTCGCAAAAAAAAGCGAAGGAGTGGAATGCAGGTGTGTAGAGTTGTTCGCCCGTCTCTATCCACCTTATTCGTTTATCCACTTCTCTGTCTTTCTTTTTCACTTTTGCACTCGCTGCGTCTACCTGACCGTTTCTCTCCCTCTACTCTCTATCTCTCCGATCTCTCGTCTCTTTTCTTCCACCTATCTCCTCGTTTCTCCACGAGCGAACGTATAGGTATAATGCCTATAGCGACGATGATAAGGTCGCCGGAGATAGGCGATGTTTAGAGACACAAGAGACGCGTATCGATCGAAAATGTTTCAGACACGGGCGCAAAATTTCTGCGTTTCTTTTTTTCCACGTTTCGTTCCGACGAAATTGGAGCAATTGACTTCGAGGGTTAATAAATTTCCAGAATTCGAGTTTTTAACACGCCCGAGTAGGTACTTGATGTGAATTTACTTGGGAGTTGCGAATGTAAAAAAAAATCCGAGTAAAATTAACGCAAAACGTTAAATTTAATAGAGTTTTTACAAATGTTGAAGGTTTTAAAAAATTGAATATCTCATTTAAAGAATGTTGGTTGAAAAATGGAGACACAGACCGTACTTCTGTGACTATGTAGTCAGACGTTGTATGCGGTAGCGGTACCGGCGCTTGTAGAGATAAACCAAGGCAAATATTTTAGCACTCAAGCTGGTCAGATAACGTTCACAATCTGGTCTCTCTGCTTTTCACAGAGCGAACGAAGATCCGTCCGGATTGTTCGGGCAAGCTGAACAAATGTTCACTTTTCTCTGTTCTTTTTCGGAACAGGTAAAACTTTATTTTTTTTTTTTTGTGGAGAGGCAACAATAGTCGAGTCAAGGATATCGTTGCCCGAGTTAGTTATTTTTCTCTGAAAAGTAACTTTTCATGCGCATATCTCGCGAACCCCAGAAGGTCTCTCGTTTTCTTCGTCGTCATGTAATTATGCGCGCTCGCCGTGCGACAAGAATTTTAATCGACGTACGTTCGTGCAGAGAGGAGAGACCGCTTTTCGAGAGTTTTTTTTTTTTTTTTTTTTAGCGAACTGTGAGAATTTTTTTAGTTTTTACCGTTTTTTCCCCCCCCCCCCCACGCGCTAACTTTATACCGACGGGTGTATAATTTCCGCAAATGCCGCTGCAAATTGTGCTGCATATTCATTTGAAAAGTTCTACTTTCACCGCATCGTTGCAACATCATGCAAATTCGCGCTAGATATTGATTTATTGGAGATTGTGATGCATTATAGTTGATACAAAAGTTTGTTCATTTCAGTCTCTTTTTTTTTCGCTTCTTTTTGTACGTTTTTATATTGCTTCTTATTGTTTTCTACGTTTTATTATTACCTGCCTTGTTACGAAAAATATTCGAAAGTGGAGTTTGTAACGCAACAAGAGATGAGTTTTTTTTTACCGAAGGGAGGAGATGGGACGCGGCGCGGGAAATACAATTCGACTAATTTCTCTCCCAAATGACAGATAACAAAGACCCGGCCAATGTTGAACCACGACATAATACTCGGATAATCGAAACTGTTTGAAAGTTACCGTTGGTGAACAATCATCGTGGGCGCCGCGCACGACGATAAGCGTTTTCGATACTTTTAACGACTCGCTTTATAGCCGCCAATATATAACTTTGCGTTTATTAAACCAGTTTAAATATCACTCCAACAAGCTGAAAGATGACTTGCTAATCTTCGCGGTTTGAATTTCGAGCTGTCCCAGACAAAAAAAAAAAAAGAACAAAAAGATAATTCCCTGTTTTCACAACGACTGTTTTTTTTTTTTGGTACGCGCGCTTTGTTGATTCAACGATAAGAAATTTTTTTTTTTTCGAGCGCATCGCTTGCGTGCACGCGTCCGGGAGATTTACGTAACGTTTACAAATGCGTTCTGCTTTATGAACGTTGGTTTTCCGCTTGCCTTCGACAATTGTAGCGTTGTGCGACCGAGGCGGGGGAACGAAGGGAGGGATTAAACGGAGCGCACACGTGTCCCCGCAATCCGACTCCGCGCGTACATGCATCACCGATAAGTATATACCGCATATACACACCAGAGAACGACGTGCACTATCGCCTTTCTCTCTTACTGAGCAACGTGTCAGGCACGGCTAAATATAAACTCGATGTCTAAGTTAACACACAGTTTTCCACGCTTATTATCAATTTGCTAATTAATTATCAATTTCCAAAAAAAAGTAAGCTTTATCGTACGTTCGCAATTTTTTTTCGTTTTTTTCTTTTTTTTTTTTCGTCTATTCCGTCGCAATCAACCGCGCACCTCGTGAGAAATTTTTCGCAAACTCGACGACGTAACGCATACGCGAAGAAAAGAAGGACACAGCGTGTAACAGGTATCGTGTGTGCGAACACGTGGTGTAAAAAGGGAGAGAGGGGAGAAAATGCGCACTGACTTTGACTTCTTCGTGACTTCAGTTTGCTGGCGGTCTTTCCCATTTTCCCGCCTAGCGCATGCCAGACGTTTATTCTAACGTAGTCGCAGCAGGTAGTGTCGCCGCAGGTGAATTCAACCGTAGGTGCAACCGCTGCAATCGGGGTGGCCACGCACTGACACGACACGGCTGCGACACCGTGAGACGACGCGGTATGACCGTAGCATAATGCGACACCGAACTAACTGAGCACCAACACACCAAGAAGAAGGGATCGGACCGCCGACCGATACGGCAAGTACGACGGTTGTAGAAGGAGAACGTGACTGGCAGTCACGACGAGGAAAAAGGAGTACGGGGAACATTGACAAACGAAGGAAAGAGAGAGATGTACGTAGCACGCAGTTGGATTGAAAAGAAACAGCACGCGTGAACAGTGTGGAAGGGAAAGAGAAGAGTGAATGGTAGAGGCGACTATCGTTTTACAAATGATACTGTCGCCAGTATCGTAGCGTGATGGCTTTATCTACATTACTCGAGAGAGAGAGAGAGAGAGAGAGAGAGAAAAAAAAAGCAAAATTTTTTAGTCCCTGACTCGAAAAAAAGATTAAAATAATAATTATTCTATAATTAGAAAAACATCTTCGAATGTTGACACACACACACACACACCGCAAAAGTATCAAATATCAAAATAATTATTTTTTTCATTTTTCAGTAAAACAACACTTATCTGCACTTAGGAATTTATTTGTTTTTAATTCTTGAAAAATCTTCTCTTTTATTTACGACTAAGGCTTTGTCGTAAGATCACCAATGCTCTTCGAGAATGTGTCCTACGCGTTATTGAGAACAGTGAATGGAGAACGGGAATGAAAATGTGTGGGATAAAATCCATTTACAGAACACACATCAAGGTAACAAAAGGTCGTTCCCGAGAGACGTTCTTCACGGAGATTTGGGTGGGCGACAGGTACTTAAATTTATATAGAAGTGAATCTGACGAAAGAGAAAGCGAGAGAGAGAGAGAGAGAGAGAGAGAAAAAAAAATACATGCACAAGTATTTTACACGTAGATGCGAGATACGTTTTTCTCTCTTTCTCTCTCTCTCTCTCTCTCAGAGCTAAGAGTCAGCTGCCTTGTGATGTCATCGAGAACCCGGATTTCTACCAGCTGAACGACTCTTCGCTTTAATCGCATATATTGTATTTTTCCTCTTTTGTTTCGTTATATATAATGCGTGTCTTTCGCAAGGGCGCGAGTGCAATAAACGACGATTTATAGTCTGCGAAACAACCTGTTGGACGTCTCAATTCCGAATACCGAGCCGCGTGAGTTCCCGGCTGTGTGTGAATTAACGTTGTTTTTCAAAATTCCCACGTGTGCGCGCTCTCGCATTGCTTACGCAAAATTTATAAATAAACGAGAGATGATGAGAAATTGTGGATGAGAGACAGAAAACATTTGTTTAATTAATTTATAAATTAATAATAAATTTTGATACATCGCGCACAATTTTCGATCATGAAAATGCGGATGAAACGCGTTTGCGCGCGAATTAAACGCCAGCGAAATATCGCGTAGATATATACATAAATTGCGATCACTCCCGCAATTCTCGTTGAGTAAAAAAACGTCTCGTGTACCGCTTAGGCCTTGTTTATTGGTGCTGTTTTGTCAGAATACATCGAGAGTTTTACAATCAATATATTCTATATGTAACAATATTTTTCTGCCGCATTACACATCTTTTCTATATATACACACACACATTATACACATATATATATAGAATAGATATTTGTTTTTTTTTTTTGTATACACATGTCGACTAGAGATATTACACGTCAGATTTTACCTAAGCATCAAAAGACATTTAATGCGAGAGTGGTTCCATTTCACGACCTAGTTCTCGAGTGGGAGAGATATATTCGCTATGTAATTTTTTTTTTTTTTGTTCGCACCTTCGTGAACAAATTGACGGGTATGTCGTCGCTCTCTTTGTCCTTCTTCGTAATTTTTCTAGAGATTGTTTTCTTCAAAAATATGTCTAATTGACGGATCTATTCTAACGTACAATGTCGATCGTCGATATATAATTACGTATCTATTTTCTTTTTTTGTTTTCTAACCGAGTTACACAGTCGTCAGTTTGAATTTACACAGTTCTGGTCCGATACGCAGAAGACGCGCCTTCCTTTCTTTCAACTACAGAGACTCACATTTACAAACGATCTCTATTTAGCGTGCGGTAATCGAATACGAACTATTACATAAATATTTGGTTCTCAAACGAACTCGCTATCGCTGTGTGTGTCGGTATACTTGCGAAATATGTATTTACAAAACATATATATGAAGCACTGAAAGAATGATAACGAGGGGAGATATGACCGGATATACAACTGATAAGTTTGCGCGATAACGTTGTCCAAAAAAATTTTATAACGCAAATTAAGAGAGTGCGGATGGAAAAAGAGAGAAGTAGCCTTCAGATTCAGAACAAAGCTCGACGAACAATTCGCGTTTATACTCCACGTATATGTATCATTCTTAGTGCTTCATATGATTGACATTAGTTATTATTGTTTTTCTATTATTTTCGCGCGGAGTGAAAGAAGATCGAAACGATAACTCTCTTCAAAGAGTTAGAAATAATGTCGCAACTCGAAAATTAACCTTTAAACCCCACCGGGGGTCCATGTGAGACCCCCCAGCATAACTTCGAGCGTAGCTCTTAAGTAAGTAAAAACTCCAAAGCGAGATATTATAAATAATTTAGATCTGAAAACATAAGGTTCTTGATTTAGCATCTTTTGGAGAGTATCTATGATTTTTTTTTAGATGAAAAATTGAGTAATTTCTAGAACCTTTTAAAGATGCTGGGGTTCAGTGGACCCCCAGTGGGGGGTTTATGTTACGGGGATGAAGTGTGGGGGTTTAACGGTTTAAACGGTATTCTACAGTGAATAATATTCGTGATCCGTCAATATGCGCGGGCTAATAAGTTCATTGTATCCGGAGGGGGTTTATATTCCGTGATAAGGCTAATCGGAAGCACCGATCGGTAAGCAGTCGCTTCGTCGTTTCTTCTTCGCTCGTTCTAGTCGATCCACTAAATACTCTTCTTACGTCCCGGGTCGCAAATATATACTCTGTATTTTATATATTATTACTCTCTAATTTGTTTCTCTGTATCGTACACACAACGCACAGGCACGCACACAGACGCAAACTGTAAACAAATTGTAAATGAACAGCATGCAAAATTGCACATGAACATTCGGGCTCGCGTCTCAATTTTCTCGAATGCGAAAAAATGTCTGACTCGCGAGAAAAGTCGTTCGCGCATCGGAAAATTGCAGAAGCGCAAGTAGAAAAAACTGGACTTTTTTTCTACGAAGATAAAAGTTGTGTGAAAATTACGACGTAACGCGAATGCACGCGCGTATACGTACGCAATAATTGCGTACAATTGACAAGAAAATGTTTACTTAAAAATAAACAAAAAAGACGATTCTTATTTCAGAAGAGTCGAACGAGTGTGTGCGATTTATATTTGGCATTTGGTAGAAGAAAAGATATGAAATATGTGTATAAAAAACAAACATGCAAACCCCCGTCAGAGAGACTTTAGACATTTCGGAAATATTTTTCTGTATAAAAAGAAGTACGCGGCCGCGATATCGCACGTAGTCAAATTGCGTACGTGGTTGGTTTTTTTTTTCCTTCGCTTGCGAGATATAAAAAAAAGGATTCTCTCATAGAAACAAGTATAGGCAGGTACTGTGTTATATATGTTTCGTTAGAATCCTGGCTCACTAAAAAAAAAAAAAAAAAAAAAAAACAATTTGCTCGTCAAGGATTCGCATTTTTGACATTGCCTTGTTTCGCGGGCGCTTCGACGATCTCATCTAGAATACTTTCATGTGTTTCATGAGTTTTTTCGATTTTCTCGAATGTGATATCACAAAAAATCGCTACTTTTTTTAAAAGATAATATTTAACACACATCCTCCCGATAAGAAATTCCTTCTCTTTTTTCAACGTTTTCTCGCTTTCCCTTTTCTACGAAAGTCTTTGGGTGTTTTTTTTTTTTGTTCTTATTTTTTCTTCACGAGGACTAAGTGAACAAAGCGATACAGTTGTTTCTTTTCGATCGCGACGTGAACAACGTGAGAAAACGCGTCGTCGTTTTCGACGACAAGAAATTTTTTCGGCGCTTCTAAGGCAAGAATATCGCTTAATATATTTAATTTTAACACGAAAGCTCCAGTAAAATTATACAAAGTTCAAAAAGTAAGCTCGAAAAACGATCCGATTCTGGACCTGAATATAGTAACGTCACGTCGAAAACAAAGTCGTATCAGAATAGGCCGATCGTTGCAAAAGAGTATGTTTCGTTTTTTCTATGGCTTACAAGATGCATAGATGTGTATCTAACACCATATAAATTACGTACAATTATTAATTAATTAATGTTAACGTTATCATGACACACAACGAAGACACTACTAGAATTTCGAAGATATATACGTGTGTGTGTAGTTCGACTACATCGACTTTCAACTAAGACAATTCTCGTTTTCATTTATTTATTTATTTATTTATTTTTTTCCCATTTCCAAGATTTTCAATTTTGTTATCTTCACACGTGGTTGCAACTCGCGTCAATTTTTGCGCCAAGTTGTACCAATTACAATAAAAAGGATAAATACAAGTCACATCGACATTTGCAAAACACATCGCGGAATCGTCAAAACTATGAAAAAATGACACCGCAAATATCGCGTCAGCAGTTTCTTTGCGCAACCTGATATACAACAGGTACATACACATTCTTCTCGTTGAAAAAAATCAAGTCCAGTACAAAGAAACGTAACACATTTGTGTCTTCATGCTCATTTGAACAATTTCAATACGCGATAATAAGAAATTCTTAGTGTTCATTACATTTTCAGAAGATTACCTTTCGCGAGAAAGAGACGGAAAAAACACTGAAAATCTCTTTATCGCGAAGCGTGAGATTCAAATTTGTTTTGGCCGCGCTGTTAAAAAAAAAAAAAAAAAAAAAAAAAAAATGTGTCTCTTCCTGTTTTACTTTGTGTGTGTTCACTGAACCGGTTTTATCGCGTGTGTAAAAAAATTAAGAATATCTTTCCCTCCCGATTGAGAGAATTTCTCTTTTGCGCAAAGGCCTGCACAAATTATTTTTGTGTTGTATAGTTTCAAAGGTTTCCGCAAGTTCAGCGTTTTGTTACTCTTGAAATACGTCCTCTCGTGTTTATCAACGTGTGCATATGGAAAGCACACGTTGTTCCATATATCGCGCGAATAGCTTTGACATTGATGTAAGCACCAAATGTCTCCCTTCGACACACGTTAAACTTATACAACATGTACATATATATATATATATATATAGATATATATATAAACGTACGACGTGGAAAGTTCTTCGTCGCTGCTGTTTAGGCGCCGTTTTTTTTTTTTTTGTGCGTGTGGTAATCAGGTAAAGACGTCTTGCTCGTCGACAAGGAGAAGCGGAACCGAAAGAAACGGAGGCGGCTTTACAGAAGGGCGCACGCGGTGCCGTGCATCACCTCGGAAATGAACATCGGCGTGCCCGCGCTGAGACCGCCGTCGCCCTTTTCCTGCTCGTCTTTCTCGTAGTCGCAGTCGAAATAATGACTCTGCGACAAAAAATGCGCATCGTGACGCTCGGACCGAGTGCAGCAATTCACTTTCTCTTCGAAATTCTCTTTAAAACAAAACAAAAACAAAAAAAAACCTAAAAAAGAGAACGTACCTGGCAATCCAAACACCTGCAATGATCGCTCATTTTGCAAGTGATGCCCCACTGTTTGGCCATCGCTTTGTAAAATTCTTTGCTCGACTTGTGAAATATCTTGGGCCCCTTGGCCACCTTTCTGTCCCCGCTGCCCTCGTCAACCCCGTTGGCGGCACCTTCCGCGTTCTCCGCGTTCTTCTCGCACCTCGGATCTTGTTTCTCCTTGTTTCTGCCCTCCTTCGTCTCCCTCAGCGCGATGGCTGACGATTCCATTCGTGTCTGAAATCAAACAAAGAATCGCACGAGAGGTTGTTAATGTTTTTTTTTCCCCTCTCTCTTTCATCATGTAATGAAATCTTTAATCGCACGCGGTGATTGTGAACGGTTGATTGATGCACTGCTTGTTAGGCGCGCGATATGTGAGCACAATGTGGCGCGAAATATCGGGCGATATATAATACCGCAACCAACCTCGCGGTAGTTGCACGTGTGCGACCGTTAATCCGCGCGTCGTATTTTCCATCAGCGAACGAGCTGTCGCGCGAACGTTGATCTCGGCGGGAACGTGCATATTTTGTTCCGCACCGTTGCGAGATATTCGTTTCGCGCAAAATTAATCGAGCGTGTCGTTAATACGCGCTCAGCTCTCTTGGCTGAAAATTAAACGGCTCGGCGGGGCCGTTGTGTGCACACACACACGGACTATATGTGCGCCGATAGTTCAAATTCGCGCGAAAATGTTGATTCGTTTTATTTCCACATACACAAATCTCCGCCTATAACAATATATACACACACAATCTCCCGGGGGAGATCGGAGATTAAATCAATTGAAATTTCCATCCGAGATACGACGAACTCACCTCTTCGAGAACGTGCTCGTAAGAGGGCGGCGGCGAGCTCGGGATTGTTAGCTCGTTTCTAATCGACAAACAATTCTTGTTCGTTTCCGTTCCGTGTTCGTCCGCGTACTTGTCCGCGTCCAACGACTGATCGACTTGTCGTTGTTGCTGTTCCTCGGATTCCACGCTGTTGCTGCGACTGTCGCCGGAGCTGCGCGATTTCAGCATGTTCGAGGTAAAACGGATCTTGAACGGCGCCAGTTTGACGGGTTTTCTTTGCTCTCGTGGCCTGCAAAAAAAAAAAAAAGGAGAAAAGATTTGTATTTTTCATCGCGCGAGCGCGAAGGGAGAAATATATATTTTTCGCTCTCCGTAGAAAAATCCGAGTTTCGCGGAGTAAATAAACGAATGTATTTTGCGAGGAAGTTTAGATTGTGTAACGGTTCGAGTTTGGGGGGGAAAAAAAAAAAAAAAGAAAAAGAAAAAAAAACAGGAATATCAAAATGGGTTTTGGTGCAAACTAGATGCTCGGTTCCGTATAATGAGAAGTTTGCTCTATACCCGGCGAGATCACGCTACTGTACCGGATGTGTCCGTTGTTGACCTACTGACCGAGTTTGCGGATATCGGCGTAACGCCACTCGACTTGGCGCATTTGCGGCCGACTTTACAGGTGCGAAGGTTTACCCCGCCCTTAAGTCTAGTTCGGGAAGGAAGGGGTCAGATGGAATCGAGGACAAGCTCGAAGGATGATTCCGACACGTCGTTCGGTGTTTATCGTGTTTTGATTTGTGATGAGGAACGCGAAAATACAACACGATGATCATCCCTATTGTTCTAACACGCAGCTGTATCATTAGTACAATGTTATTATAATATATTATTATTAATGCATATAGTATTCAATGCGCAACGAAATTAATTATTCAATTAAATGCAACATGCATTAACTTTTAATTTATTATTAAATTTGTGAACATGTGTGTGAAAGCTTACGTTCGTTTATTCGATGCTTCAATCCAAAGTGTGTGTTTTTGATTTTCTCGCTGAAGTTATAATTAATTAATTTTCGTTGTGTCGAGAACGCGCGACGGATTTCAAGCGGAACACGGGATGCAAATTTCTGGGACAGACAAAATGACGGAGCAGTGCGCTGGCATCTTTATCACGATGTGCCGAAAGTATGAGAGAGACCCCCGCTAGATATACCGATGACCTATAAAAGCCGAGTCTCGCGCGCATTATTTCGATCGTGTCTCTCTCCCGTTTCTGTGCACAAGTGGAGCAAGTCTCATCCGGTCGAACGTCTTACCGGCCGCGCATACATCGCAACTTTCCGGCGCTTTTAATGCAAGAAAATAAAGTATTATTATCGGCACGTTAGCAAAACGAGACGACAGGACGAAACTTTCCTCTCGAGCTAAAGCATGTGAATAATATTTGCAGTTAACGAAGTCCGGGAGGAAACAGAAGTCGTGCGAACGATGCACAATTGCAAGTAGAACAAGCCCGTTTTATTCAGACGTAAATGATGAAGCTGGAAACAGACGTTGTGTTGTTGGAAATTTAGCGGCTAACAAACGATAGTTTCAAGAACATATCTCTCTCTTTCTTTCCGCTGTTCTCGGAAAACCCAGAATTACAATTTTCAGCATGATTATGGCGAAGAAAGTTCGAAGGACAAAGAAGAACGAAAGTTTAAAAAGTATTCGAGAAGTTGAAGCAGCTCCGGATGCTTCAGCTCAACCGAAGAACTAATAACAAAACGACGAGAGTTTTGCATTAACGGAGATAATCAACCTTATTTGAAAAACAAAACAAAAACAAAAAAAAAAAAAAAAGAACAATATCCATCGAGATTATATGCAAGTACAATTTTCGAACAGTTTTTTTTATATTCGCGCGAAAATTTAATTTTTGCGCAACGTCAATTTATCGCGCGCATAAAATGGCAGAAGGCGTAATGGGAAAATGCGATCCACGTGGGGAGAAATGGACAGACGTAAAACTCTGATGGAAAATTTCATCGGGACGGAAATCAGCGCTCAACAGATAAGATGGACGGATAAGGCGACGTTTTATCGCACAAATGAAACAGACGACAAAGTAGGTTGCATCGGTAGGTGGGACGAGGATCCCACGCGCTTTCATCCAACCATCCAAGGACGGGGGGTGGAATCCCCCTTCCTCCCTCTCTGCTCAGAACTGGACGACGTGTCAGTGGCCCGAGCTGGTACCAACGTACCCCCATCCTGGGCCAACACCTCTCGTCCTAGTTTCCCTCTCGCTTAGCTTCCTCCATCCCTTGGTGCTTTCATCCCCGTCCACGGCCACCTACCTACCTACTCCTATCAGAGAAGCTTTCTCTCTCTCTCTCTCTCTCTCTCTCGCTCTCTCTCTCTCTTTCTTTTTCTTTCTACACTCTGCCGTCTCTTGTTCTTCGTATATATTTACGAGCAGCGTCCGTCTTGTACGCGATACTACATTTTCATCCGTTTTCTTGTTCCATTACAATAGTACGCGTGTTTTCATCCCGCAATTCGCCGCGCAGTCGAGCTCACCGGAGCCCGTTATTTCGCGTTTGTAGGCATGCCCCGCTCGTATATTTTTTTTTTTCTTTTTCGAATCGCTCGGTCGACATCGACACAAATTACGACGTGGGAAAACCCGCGTGATTTATTTACGGGTAGTTCGGTCTTCCCCCGAACTTGTCAAATTGCGTCACGCACTTTACATAAATATTAAGAAGAAAAGTGTACGTGAATTATTGATGGCTGCTACGAAACAATCGAAACCCAATTATAATATTTCGGTCGACAATATCGAATGATTTACGGTAAAAGATTTATAAATATGAAAAAAAAAGAAATTAATTATTAAACGAACTCTGACCTCTGAAAAGAAAAACGGTTAATGTAAACAGTAATTATTCAACGGTGTTACTTTTTCGATTTATTGTTTTAGATCGTGATGGCAAAAGTGTGTTTTTTTTTGACATGTATAAGAGAGAAAAAAAAACGCGCGGCTTAAACCGCCCACGGGCAGTCTCTCGCATCAGAATTGAATTTGGTTTACAGCGGTGGAAACGTATTTTGTAAGAGAGGTAATTGTGTCACTTGTGGCGATGGAATGCCAGTGACACCCGCGATTGCAAAATTTCCGAGAGTGGATTTGGGTCACTCTCGGTGTTACCCACGTTCGACTGCGTTAATGACAGCTGCGCTGTGCGCGAGTGAATTATCGCGTTTAAGATATTCTAAAACTTCGTGACAACTGGCGTTGCCAATACACACAATTCATCCCTTATTCATCTTTCGCAATTTACGATAATTTTCGTACTTGCTGTATAAATTTGTAAATTTGACAAGACGCGCGAACATTCGTGGAAAAAAACAAACAAACAGAAACAGCTGCTTACTGAACAATAAACTAACATCCAATAATAATCTTCGCTTGCAAACACATCGAACAACAATCTCCTATGAAAGATAAACATTTGTATATTATGCACTTTCATCAGATGACGACTATACCATCACAAACTGTTGTGAAACAATCGAACTGCGCTTGACATTGCCGAGCATTATTGCCCGCCACACATCGTTTACCTGTGTGTTGCGCACCCTTGACAAGTAAAACACTTTATCGAGTTATTGAAAACTTTTCGCGTCTCTGGACTGTTGTACGTTCGAGAGAACCACCGAGCTGACACGTTAACGAATGAGAACAATCACGGTTATATTATATACGTATGGGGTCGATCACACGTGCAAAGCGAACATTGTTCTTGGAAAGAACTCACCTCCTCCCCACCCCTTCCCCATCGTAGTTCTTTTTTTTTTGTGAAATATGAAATTAATTTTTCACTTCTAATTAAAATCCGTCAAAGCTTGCGCGTCCTATTTTTAAAACAAACACACCACGTTCTGGCGATAAAACCGTTTGAACGATAAATGAAGGAAAATGAGAGAAATGCGCGCGAAGGCAAACTTCTTTTTCGATATTAAATAGAATATTGCGTATTTTTGCAGTATTTTGAAAAGAATTTTTAATATAAGAGTTTAATACAAGATTTGAGTAATTTAACTTCTCTCGCGAATCTTTAAGATTTCTATTTAAATTTACATAGACAATTATGTTTTAAATGAGTTCACAGAAAATTGTTCAACGCGAAAAGTTTCGAAATTACTCTATTTGCGCTCATTACGCGTTTCATGTAATTATGTATTTTTTGCCATAAAGAAAAATTACAGGTACATAATTTCTCTTGAAGACGTAACCGCGGTCGTTTGAAGTAGAGGAGATAGTGAACGCATGAATAATAGATGCGCGGTGAAAGGAGTAATAAAGACGTACAAGCGTCTCGAAGGAAAAATTGGATGAAACTAATTATTTAAGCCGGTCACTAAATCACATAAAACTTTTTGCGGCGTTTTACTAACTCCGGACAGATAATTGATCGCAATTCTTCGTTATTTATCCAGAGCTCTAATTGCAAAATCATGACAAATTCGCGAACATTACGGGCATTGTTATATCGCGCGGCGAATTATTTTCTTTAATAAAAAAAAAGAATGAACATGATTACGAACAATTTTTTTCCATATCTACTTCAACTAGATAAAAGTCTTTCGATGTAAGCTTCAGATTTATTTGACAGCTGGGAGACAAATGAACTCTACGTGCTTGATGTCAGACTGACGGTTGACTGCGATCACTTTCGTCGCAATTTCGACCACCGTCTCTTAGAAAAGTACAAGAGAAGAGATTTCTGATGAAATCTTAGATATATACACATTGAGCTTCAAGGACAGACTTCATAGGACTCAATGTCGACTTTATCAAATAGAACGTTATTGCAAAACATATACTACTCCCACAGATCTGCGATTTTTCTTGAATCAAAGGAAAGAAGCCGCTTTATGTTGGTAACTCTTAGTAGTTTACCGACTCATTTTCCAGCAACCAACTCTAGGGAGTATCAAAATTCATTCCTCTTTTATTTACATGTAATACGTTAATATATATAATTAAATAATAATATANCGCACAACACCTAGCGAACGGCTCCTATGACCGAATATATATATTTATTAGTTTAGAAACTTCAGAGCCTGAAGAGATTATTTAATATATATATTTATATATAGGTAATTTTTATAAAATATTTGCTTTTGAAAAACATGAACAAAGATTAACAAATATTATGTTATAAATTTTCTTCTTAGTTATTTGTCAAAGATTTTCTGTGCGGACAATCTTTGATAGTTTCTTCAAGATGTATATATATATATATTATATAAGTGATGTATATGTGTGTATATATACATATATCGTACGTGTCGAGAATACACACCGGGGATGCATTTACTGTTTGCAACAGGATACCCCAGTAAAAAGCACGTCGGAGTTTCTCGTCAGACGCGTTCGATCGTCTCGGACGTAAAAAAAACGTTGCAGTTTATTTGCCGAATTGCTGGCTGCACTTTCGTTGTTGTCAGATCGTGCCATCGCATGACACGCTTTGACGGTCGCTCGGAGATAGTTCCATATCGTGCGACACAACGATATATAACACGTACGAGATGTGTCAATATGTTTGCCATTACGTGCAGTCTTAAATTCGAACATCTCAAAAATAAATGTTTACGAGAAGTAAAAGATTCAGACGTTCCCCATTTTTTTTTGTTACTTCAGAGATATCAAATTTTGAATTGATTTTAATTTTAAGAGAAATATACTGAGTATTAAGATTAATTTTTTGTTTTGTTGTTCTCTTCGTGAAATTCATTTCGCTTTTCAAACGTAAGACGGAGAAGATTCAACTTCAATTTTTATCAATCAAATCATCGTCGACGAAATAAGAAAGTAGCGCCGAGTCATTTATTTCAACGGGATATCTACTTGCTTCGTCGCGCACGTTTCTCACATTAATTTCTTGTTTTTCAGTTTTTTATCATCACGTGATGTTTACGCGAGAAGAGAGGATAAATTTTTTAAAGGCTCTAAACTTTCTTAGCGAAGTGCAAAAAAGTCATTGCAATCCCCATCCCGTTTTGATGTATATACACGACGACGTTATCATCCCCGACGCGACATCTCGTGGGATATCACTGGCGAAACGGACACGCCAGACGACCGCTTCCGGAAAGGGATGAAATGTATGTGTGTGTGCGCGCGCGTGGGAACAAGGAGTGGACGTTTGCAAACGAGATGAAAACACAAACGTGTTGCAGCAAGCCTAAAATCCGAAAGTGGGATGTTCTTAGAAGACGAGAATATACGCACACCGTGTCAAAATATTCAACCCTCCGCCATCGTTTTATTGATCGCCGATGTAGTAGAGACACGCGTCTCGAAACACCGACGCAATTATATACAATGATACACGGATATACACACACATACACACATACACGTATATACGCCATGCAACGCGCACGCAGGCCAGCCGTATATGTCGGATAACGCTCGGTCCGATCGACGAAAATATTTTCCACAAAAGTTATTTCTCGCTCGTGTTTGCGAATATTCGCGCGAAATTGTTTCATCGCCGTTGTCTGGTTCTACTCACGTGACTTTTTCTGCTCGCGCGAAACGGGCTACAACTCCTTGGCGAAACGCACACGAAACACGGCGCTTTCCGGATGTGTCGAGACTCGGGGTATCAAGCTGCGACAGCCATGTTGGCGATGTTGTAGCGCCCCTAACCGGCCTGCCTCGAAGTTCTCTTTTCCCACCCCGTATTCTCGCCACCAACTCGCTGTCCGCCCACCCTCTCTCGCTTTTAGGTGAATGAAATTTTCAGCCATTAATCAATTGATGAACGTAACGTAATAAACATGTCAAATAAAATTAAGTGTTCAATATTAAATATATTGAAACACTTCGGATGTTCCTCTTAATCACAGCGTCCGCATTAAGCTCTCAAAGAGACAATTGCATTTTAATAATGTCAAGAATATATATATATATATACTTAAACGTTTTACATCTTTGTCAATTTGTATTCTTATGGTAACAAGATATATATATATATACATAAGATATATAAATTTGTGATTTAAACAATACCGCGCGAGGAACAATGGAAGAACATTTTTGAGAGACTTCGATTTTCTCTCTCTCTCGTATTTTTTTATTTTGTTAATTTTTCGCGCTTGAGAGGATTTTTTTCAGAGCGCTTGGTAAATAAAGGTTTCCAATCTAATTTAATCTAATCTCTCTTTCTCTCTCTCTCTCGTTGTCAGTTGTATATATATATTTTCTATACATATATATGTTCTCTTACACACCTTCTTCGATCAAAATTACCTCCTACGTTCGTTCTCTATTTGAATATCTCGCAAAACACTCATAGAATCTTCGCCTTTTCTTGACAAATGTCACAAAGCATCCTGGGGAACAGATTAAATATTTAAATTTCCTCTTAGATGTACAAGTTGCGCGTCTCGCGAAGAGGCGCGCAGAACGTCGAAACAACGTTTTCCCTCGCTTTTTCGCGCAAACGATGAGACTTAAGTAATGGAAGATTGATAAGAAAATCGTTAATCGCGATTGATATCGTTTCCATCGCTACCGATTTCGCGTTTTAACCAGAGTTTCATCGGTCGCTCTTGTTGGTTCATTCACTTCCTCTCTCTCTCCCTTCTTCACCGGTTGATAAACCACTCGCAAGATTTCGTATCTCATCGCATCTAATCGCATTTGAGATCTTTTCATTGGGATTTTCCACGATCTGTCATCTTCTCCGTGAAATCCCGTATATATTTTTTTTTTTTTCCGTCCGCGGAGATCTCGTTTCAATTAAAAATTTACGATGTCGTGTCGCGGGGGCGAATTCCATCGGTAACGACAGCAATCGAGACGTCGGATTACCACGCTGATGGGCAATAACCGCGAATGAAAAATTAATTGCGCCTGTCATTTTTTTATCCGAGAGTTTTGTGACGCGGGCGCGCGCCGCCGGTTGCTCCGACACACACTCTGTGTATCTCATTAATTAATTAAAATTATAAATTACCCAGAGCGCGCGCAGTGTTTGCCATTTCTTCGCGTCAAACACTTTTTCTTTATAATTAATCCTATCGTCTTCTGAGTGCAAAGTGTTTTAATATTTATAATTCATCACAATAATGTAACAAAGAGAGAAAGAGTTAAAGCAAATTTCTCTCCATATCCCAGTTTTCTCGACTTTGAAACGCGTGCTCGCTTTGTTTCTTTTTTTTTTTCATTTTTCAGAAATTATGTAACACCGAGAGCAAACTGCTGGGAAAAAAACGCCGTGGAATCGTTAAAATCCCTGATATTGTTCTCATCGCGCGCACGAAAACAAAAAAAAAAAAAAAAAATGTTAGCGGAAACCTGAGTTGTTTTTGCACCGCGTATCGTTGCTCCGCGCGAGTTTACCAGCGTTACCCCGACGCAATATTTTTTTTTACCTCTTGCTTTCGTCTTTCTCCTTTTTCTCGGTCACACCCGCGCGACGTAACGCAGTCAACCTGTGCGTCTTGTGCTCGTGTACGCGGAGCAAACTTCAAAAGAAGTTACGCAAAAATAAGAGACACACGCAAAATCGTGCCTTCGTTGGTCTCTTTTTTTTTTTTTATCCTCCTTACGAATTCTCGTCTCTGTTTTTTTTTCTTATCCAATTTTTTTTGGTAAAGAACTAGGATAAACGACGAAATAACGTGGCTGAGCGGCAACAACATCGCAAGTTTAAATTATTAATCGAGCATATCAATATGTAAGCAAGTTGTGTAGGCGCGCACACGCTCCGACATGCTCTTGGCTGTTAAACTTAATAATAGCAAGTGTAATCGAGAGCGCGCGATAATCAACTCACTTTGAATCTTTCGCGTGTGTGTATGAAGTTAGGCCAACTCTCTCTTCCCCATGTAGAACTTTCGATGTATTAACGAGAGAAGTTGAATCACTTCCGTGCCGGAACACGAACATCTTTAACAGTTGCGCACTCAATGTACGTGTGTATATTTATATGTATATTTTTCATGCATATATGTACATATATGTACATGTATTATTCTTTAAAATCACATATATATATATACTTATATGATATATATTTCTCTAAAATAAAAAGCAGAGGGTACATATCGTATTTTGGAAGAAGAGGAAGTGCTTTATTCGAAATATTAAAACTTCGGCACGTTACACGTCCTCTCCCGGTCATTAACGACATGGCTTTTCAATTACCACGGATACCACCGACGACGCCTCCAAATGACACGAGTAATCGTATCATCAGCTTCGAATTCGAGCGCTAATTAGCGCAGGAAATTTAAGCCGGACGTGTAAGCGGCGGGGTGCCCATATAAAATGATCATTAATCTATGTGCGACGGTTAAACTCAAACGAACGTGTTGCCGCTGGACGTATAAAGTGCGATTATGATAAGCACATCGTCGATGACAAATTTTATCCTTCGTAAGAACGTCAAATGGCTGGCTCGTTATCGCCCAAAATTGGCAGCCATTTGCGTCATTGACGACTTGATTGTTGCCGGAATCTTTTTCTTTTTCACCGAATCTGGCGAATAAGAAAACAGCAAAACTTTGAAAATTTTGATCTTTGTCAAAACAATTGAAGTGCAAGCCGACGACATTGTCGAAAATGTGACTGAGAGAACGGCGTCCGTTCTGTCTCGCGCTATCTGCGCGTCGTTTCGGATACTTATCAATCGTCTCTCGCAGTTGCGCTTTTTTTTTCGGGAGCGTTTCGCGAAATGCTGATATGTACGAATCGATCGTGGGGGAAGCGCATTCGGGAAGTGCCCACTTTTTTCCGCTGACGCGACGAAGTTTGCACGAATTAGCGGAGCCGCGTCATCGAGAAGTATGCCAAGAAGCGTGTAAAGGTCTGAAGTGACACTTCCGCGGTTTTAATTAATTCGATCAGCAATCAACGCTATCTCGATCGCCCATCTGATCCGCGAGAGGATTTTCGTCGTCCCGTCCAGAGCGAATTAAAACTTGAGGATCTCTCCTCTTGACGCGTTTTTTGTTCAGAAAAACGTGTGTTACTTGTTATCACAACGTGTTATATTAATTTTATTTTATATACATATTCTCTCATTCCCTCGCCGGACTCTCACGTTTCGCTTCTGGAATTCAATTTGGTTCAATTTCTTATAAGACTTTTCATTGTGTATGATTGCAGCTGCGCAACGGGAACGGTACACGGTTGGCAGTCGCAATTCTCCCTCTCATTCCCTCTTCCCCCCCCCCTCACCACTGTGCGGCTTTTTGACCGTGTGTTAGAGAGAAAATATATCGTTTCGAGAACACGCGAATCCGCGGATAAGAGAGAGACTCTTTCGGTTTAATTCTCATTAAAAGTGCACGGTATCTGCGAAATCATTTTCTCGAGATTGCGAGCTGCAATCTTTATATATATCGCGAACCTCTCTCTCTCTCTCTCTCTCCTGAATCTGAAATTAAATATCCACGTATCTATGAAGAAAGTTTTCGATCCTTCGGTTAATTTCGTTGTGTGCAAACTTCGAGATACGTAAGTCGGTGTTATATCTTTCGAAACAGTGTCAAGCAATTGATCTGCCAAACAGTTTTTTCACAAAACTTGAGCGCTCCCGAACGCTCACGCCGCGCATCTCGAACACTTCTCTTCGTCGAATCTCACGTAATTCGACTTGAAGTGTTCTTTTTCTTCTTTTTTTTTTTCAAACTTCATGAGGTGTGACTTACAATTGATTAAAAAGTTTCTGAAGGAAGTTAGGAAGATACTTTTCGGGATGCTCTACTCGCGCGCGCGCGTGCGCGCATTTTACGCTCGTGGAATGCGACTCTTTCTCGGGCGCGCTCGAAAACGAGCCGCGAGAGAAGCGAAGCGCGCGCCACTGTCAGTAAATCGATGCGAGAGAGACGATGCGATCCTCGCCCTCTGTTCCACCACCTCTTTCCACCGCCACCACCGTTCATCCCCGCCGCCTTCTCTCTCTCTTCGGTAATTTAAGCTCCGACTCGGTTCAGCTGAGTTCAGTTGCGCTACTTGGTCGTGTGGTTCGCGTGCCGTCGTGAGATCACAGAAAAGTTCCCGTGCACGCGTCGCTTCTCGAGGAAACATCACCCTTCTGATTTGTTTTTTCTCCCCGCCAATCACTGTTTTTCTCTCCTCCTCGGTTTTCCTTCGTCTCTTTCTTTCTTTTTCTTTCAATTTTTTGCTTTTCGTCTCATCGGTCTCAGGAAAATATGTACGTGCACGTACGATGCACGTACTAGGAAGGAAAATGCTTTAGAGAAAGGGAGTGCTACGAGCCCTCGATGTTTCTATTTGCACGATCAATCTACAATTGCCACAAGGTAAATAATTTTGTAATAAATAAATTTCTAAACATATATAACGCGGACATGCAACGCGAAACGTCTTTGTACATGTGGATATAAACAGATCGTTGACAATTTAATGGACGACAAATTTGATTTCCCGTCGGGGTAAAACTGTGATCTCGAGTGCTAACGAGCTCACCCCCGATTATGTTTGAGCGCGCGCCGTTTCGTTTAGAAGCGCGTCCTGCGCCGAACACGCGGACGCGTCCTCTCTTTTGGAGAGCATATATATATATATATATATATAGTTATATTAGTGATATCATCTCCCGTGTTGGCAAATTCTATACGCGACGTTGTCTCTCGTTCGAAAACATTTATTTTATTTATTTAACAAACGGTTGTGTGTATATATTTATTTACTATACATATATATACACTGTGTATAAAATCGATAAACAGATATTTATTTATATTAAAAGACAACAGTGCAAATCGACAAGGGAAAGCGTTACGCTCTTCTGTATTTTTCTTGTGCGTTTCGTCACGTGTATGAAAAATGTAAGATGTCATACACTTGTTGTTACTTCTTTTAAAGCAAGTACTTTAGAAAAGAGCAAAAGAGTAAGTTTAGAAAAAAAAAAAGAGAATTTTAAATCATAAAATGTTTTACAGGTTTGTAGATAATATTTTCTGTATCAATATTGTAGAGTAATGATGTACGTGCAAAAAAAAAAAACACACACAAACTGTACACACGGAAAGATATCACGTATACGATATTACCAACAACTTCGAGAAATGATAAAGACGATCGTTTTCTTTAATAACACACAACAAACGATCGGATTGGATTTCTGGCAAACTGACGACGGCATCACGCTGGAAGTATTGAAAAATCCTTAAATTGTCTTCCTTTCACAAGACGCAACGTCGTATAATTTTCTTTCAAAGTAACATTCCAGCTTTTTACGAAAAATGATAAAGTTTTCCGGTTACATTTTACCGACTTTTATTATGTTGACTTCTCCTTTCGAGAGAATAAACAAGTAACTCTTAATATCCCAATAAGGAGAGAAAGAGCATCGCGCGCGTAAGTCGAGTCGCGCTTTAACCAACGCACACGAGAAACGAAAATCCTGCGCGCGGAATATTATATATACGTATTGAAGACAACTTTCCTCCGCGTAGAATTAATTAAAGCACTTTAGGTATCAAAAAAGAAGAAGAAAACTCTCATCGATACGGAGCGATACGAAACTCTCCGAGGAAATTGTTCGGGAAATACAGTTGTTTTCTCTTCCGAAAATGTCGATCGTATTTCGCGCGAAGAAAGAGCGCGAAACTTTCATATCGACACGGCGAGCGCGCCAGTAAAAATCACAAGAAATCAAGTAACGTTTCTTTCTGAAACTTTTCGAACGCGGTCGTACTTCGCGAGCAAGTAAATACGGAGGAGGAGGAGGAGGAGCAGTGTGTGTTCCGAATCTCATTCATTGTACGTGCCAGCTCGATTTGCAATTGAATGAGGGCACTTCGCGGAAAACGTGAAGATTCATCCGCGCGTATTCCACGATCGCTCGGACACACTCAATCGCGGGAGGTCACGACGAGTGAAAATGAGAGAGAGAAAATATATATTGATCTCTTATGCGCGTTACTCTCTCTCTCATCACAAGTTTTGCGAAAAATTTCGCCGATGTGTACGCGACCGGGACCGTGTAATATAGATCACCGTGTTATATTTTCTGTTGCCGTACATGCGTAAGAGAAGGAAGACGCTGCTCGGCGCGCGGAAGTATTATTATTCCACAGTCGGATAATTAGTAACTTACAGTTGGAATTAGCACGTTGCTCTAATTAAAATTATGTGACATTAGAGTTACGCGCGAAATGAGACCGTATATATCTGCCACGTGCAGCATTATGAAAATTTAATATGCGGTAAAAGTTCCCATCGGGAAGACGGGTGGATAGAATTTATGCGAAAAAGAACTTTAATAATCTTGCGATTAATCACCGTCATAATCGGCGATATATTGCAGTGTTTTTCTTTTTGTTTTTTTTTGTATAAGTTATTATTAAACTTGTGAACTTTGTATTTTTTTTTTTTTGATGGCGTCCGTCGGAGAGAACGTAGCGCATTATATGATAATGACGAGCGCGCGGAGAGAGATGCTTAGCGTCCGATCAAAGGGCGAAGCAGCATCCCGCGGATGCTCATTTCTTTTTTGAGGAGATGCGCGTCAACCGCGAGAGAGACTGCGGAGATCAAATCGACTCGAGTGCGACCGACAAAATGTGACCTTGTAATTAATCACGTCTGTATCATCCCATTCCACAATTCGTCGCAGAACGAAAGGGGAACGAAAAGCGAGTAATTTTTCTTCCCCGATCACACCGCGCTTTGTTCGAGCTGGGCTCGTTCCCGCTGTCTGACGGGTTTTTCGCCCCCATTGGAAAATTGTTGAGCTTGATTCCGAAGCACGAGAACACACTCGGAGAATTTCATTCGCGAACAATTTCAATCCCCCATCCAAGGGATTTCACCGGCCCTTGCGAACTACTTGCCGCCGCCACTGGGATCCGACGGGATCGCATCGAGGATCCCGTCCGATAACGCTCGTATAAATTAATTCCTCGCCTAAATGAAAGGTTTCCCGAGCTACGGAATTATATATACGCCATTTCAAGCTTCGATTTACTTCCGTCTGAAGTTCGCCGAACTTGTGGGCGAAGTTCCGATAAACGTTTTGCTTTGTGCAACGAGCGATATGTGTTAACTCTTTTAATTATTTGCGTTGCTTGTGTGAAACATTCTGTTGAATTTTTTGTTAGAAAACAACGGTATAAACATAAAATAAATTCGAACAATCAGTAGATTTTAAAATATCATATTAGTATTTAGTTTATTTAGACTAAAAAGAGGTCAGTGAGAATCGAGCGTGGGTGTTGATACACAAAAGTAATTGATTTTTGTTTTGGTTAAACAAAAATCAATTGAATATGTTAGATTTTAAATTTTATGATTTAATATATATGAAAGATACATTAAATCATGAAATAAATACAGTAGCACATATGTTACATTATTTTTATTCGAATGTTGCTTTAATTTTTACATAATTTATGTAGATGTATATTTGAACAGAAAAGGATTGTGGCTTGAAGCATTAGAGGTTTTGCGAGGAGAACTTAAATGGACGCCTGAACCCAAGAGACGCCGGTGTGTGCCCGTCGGCACTTCAAGGGTTAAGGTCCTCCCTCTCTTCGACTTTCGTATTAAATCCCACACGGTCCGCACCACGTATCAAACGAACATGAATAAATTCCCCGAGGAAATTGCTTCACCACTTGAAACACTGCAAATACTGGATTTGAAAAATGATGATTCCGATGATTTTTAACAGCGATCACCTGTTCAGAATGGTTCGTTTATTAGTGCGAAAAAAGATGAAAATTGTATACAATAAAAACACAATAGAAACGAGGGAAAAAAAAAAAACGATTTTTATGAAACTCTATCTTCGAAATTTACTTTTAAAATGTACGAAAATGTTGTTCGTTTTTTTTTTTCAATTTTTAATTTTATATTTTTAACAATACAATTCTACATCGCCGTATATCGCACGCCGTATCTGTGAAGAAAAGTCTGCGTTAGCGTATCTTTCGAGGAAACACGCGTGTGCGTCGTTCCATTCTTGCTCATGCACTCAGCGCGAGTTTCGCGAATGTCATAAAGCAGCACGTTGGAATTGCGAGGTAGAAAGCAACGCGAGAAAAAGAATCGGACGGATGCATCGGAAAAAGATATAGAGTCGCGAAATTTATTCCGAAGGTTTCCGTCGTCGTTTCTGCGCCGTTTTCGTCGTCGTGCGTTCCATTCTGCGAGTCTGGAAAGGGCTTTTAGCCGACGCGACGTGTCGGATGAAATTTCGCAGGCTCGATTTAAGTGCCAGGTGCTAGAAACGTGTGAATAGAAACGACGCGTAAATACGACGTCGTATCTCTGTCTGACACGAACGTGACAGATCACGCGAGCAAGATACACACGTGCGCTCAGGCGACAGGATTTTTCTACAACCGTTTCAAATTAAACAACAAAAAGACTTGACACTTTTTTTTTTTTATGTAAAGGATATTAAAACGAAAAGATTTATTCCGTATTGTTTAAAAAATAATCAACGATTGTCACATTACAATTGCATTTGTCGCTTTTTGTCGTTTTTTAATTTTTCAAGCTTACACGTGACGCATAAAAGTGTTGCATTTTTTTTTTTTTTCCATTTTTCGCGCGCGATATCTCGCGACGATACGCGCGTTGAGAGGGATGCGCGCTCTCGTATATATACATATATCGGTACTCATCGCGGATTTAAATCCGAATTCACCGACACAGCGGATATTTCCATTGAGTCTCTTAAAGGTTCATCAGTTATGTATGTGAAAACAACCGGCAGAAAAATTGATAATCCGAATACCTGTGTGTAAATTGAATTCTACGGCGCGACGATGCGGTGTACGTCGTCCGAATGTGTGCGTGTTCTCGGGTCGTTCCGATTGCGACATCACAAACGTTCCTTGATGATCCCCGGGATCCATCCCTTTGCGAGCGGCGGCGGCGACGGCGACAACGTCGGCGACGCACACCCGTGTAATGTATGCTTTGAACGTGCCCGGCATTACAGTTCCAACCTTGATTCCTCCTGAATTCTGTTTAGCTGGTAATTAATACCGAATACAATTTAGTTCTGTACGCCGACGGGTGTTTAATTGGGCGTGTCGCATCGTTTGGTCCCGAGCGGGCGACACACCTTCAGCTTCGGCGGAAACTGCACCGACGACGCGACTGCACCGTACCGCTCGCTTCCTTAAATTTCCACTTCCCGAAAATTAACCGCCATTTAACTGAGAAAATTACGTTCATTACGTTCTAATTTTCTCTCTCTCTCCCTCTCTCTCTTAAGTGACTTTTCCTTTTTCCAGCCAACTTGTACAATGATAATAGGCGTAATTCAGTGCGGAAGCATTTA